TATCTTTTATATTATCATTTTTTTTTTAGAACAATACATTATATAATATACGAATAAAATGAATATTATATTATCATTAGATATAAGAAAAAATTCCACATTTTAGATTAACGATAATCTCATATTTTAATCAATCAAAAATCGATAACGATTGTTTTGAAGATTCGTGTTCAATAATCTTGTTAATTTTAATTATTATTTAGATTTTATATGTATCTATTTTATTATATAATAATAATAACAAATATCAATTGTTGTGTTTGTTATGGCCTTCTATCGATCAATCAATCAATCAATCATTGAAAAGATATATATTAATATCTTGTATCTCTAAAATACAATTAGATTGTACTTCATCCTTCGATATAAAATTCCTTTAAATTTTTGTGATCCTCGTTATCGGAGAAAAAGTTTAAGAATAAAAATTTGAAATCAAAGTACAGTTAATTATTGGCGTCATTGAATAATTTTTGAATAATTTATCACGCTTATTTATAAATTGTGGTAAAACATATTATTATTTAGAATGATCTCGAAAATATAATGAAATAGTAAGCTTATCGGAAATATATCGAGTATTAATAATGAGATTATTAATTGTAACGAATATTTTAGTTAGTAAGTATGTAACATTCAATATTCAAAGTGAAAATAAATTTGTATCACAAATGAAGACCACAAATGTTTAATAACTTGATCCATGATTTTTTTCTCAATCGAAGGAGCATTTTTCTCTATCGCATTGATCATATGAATTTAGAATATCGTGTTTCGATATATTACAAATTGAACTATAGTAACAAACTTTTTAATGAGAATCTACATTTAAACAGCTTGCAATGCGAGTACAATATAAATTAACGCAGCACGATGAAATTTCGTTCTAGATAATCTAGAAATAGAATTTTAACTATATTTTCCACGTTCCAATTAGTTTATAACTTCCTTCAACCTAATACGATCGTAATTTCAGATAGCCTTACTCTCTTTACCCTTATCATTTTTTATTAAAAAACGTGTCTTTCTCACGAAAAATGATTAAAGTCGCGAACATTACAATAAATTTAAGAAAATAAAATTTCAAACAATATGCATTATCTTCTATTCTCTTCTGTTGTCACATTTAAATATTCATTTCATACATTTTTTCACATAAATAACTTGCATGTTATAGCAACAGTTTTCACATTTGCATCTTTCCAAAACAATTCACTCAATTCGAAAGATTACCCCAATTTATTAAATCTAGCTATTCGATAATCAATAACGAACGTTACACTTAAACTTTATCCATCGCATACAACGTTCACGCTTTCTCGGTTGGCATAAATAAAAGCAGAATTCATATTCTCGGCTCACATGTTTCGCGTTGGCTGTTCGGTTATTAGGTTTGCAGTACCACTACCGGTACTTGTTTAATGGCAGTGTGCAATATGTGAATACCAAATAGGAGGCGTGTAACATAGATCAGCACGCAGCATGCTAATAAATTTAACGATACCAGTTCTACGTACTACCATGCTTGACGTAATTAAACGACGGATATTGCCCACCCGCAATTGATATCGGTTTCCAACCTGATCATCGATCGAAATTTCTGGAGCCTCGTCAAATGTGACGTCCCAAAATAACGAGATTAAAAAAAAATGTATCAACCATAAATTGAATTTTCTTAGAATTACACATATTTCAAATATATGAACTTAGAAAGAAAATTAAACTAAATCTCCATCGAACAATTGTTATTAGTCTTGTTATCTATTGTTTATTAGTTTAATTATATTTTCTATTTCAATCGATTCGTCGATAACACTCGCTCACGAGAGAATAACTCAAATATCGGAATATCCGGTCACGAAATTACGCTACCTCTAAGAAATACATTCACACGAACGCTCTCTTTCTCTCTCTTCCAAATAGCAAATTGAGGGAGAATTTCGAGAAATTCTTGACGAAACTCTTGTCTCGCATCACCAACATCTGATCGAACGAACTAGACTTTTTTACAAGTTTTCTTCGTTCCACGAATTTCCTAGTTTTCAACGGAAGCACATGCCGGGGATAAAACCGCGGCTCTCAATGGGAATTTGATTACAAGCGATGAATTATTGATGATCGATAGGGCTGTGAAAAATAAGAACACAGGTTGTTGTTATCGAACTTTCATTCTTTTCTTTGTTGCTGTTTTGCGTTCAGTTCTCTCGGGAAAAAACTTCTGCGTTTTTCCCCGTTGTTTTTTTTTTTCGTTTTCTTTTCTTTTTTTTTTTTTTTGAAACCTGTTTTTTACTTGTGGTAAAATTTTATCGAAATTTTAAAAAATTGAATCTTATAGAAATAAAAATGATCAACGTTTGGAATAATCAAAGAATTATGCATTTCAATGAGATGGATAAAATTTTTATAAATTGTTAGAAATTAAATCGTTTAATTTTTGATAATATTTTACATAATTTAATTTTTGAAGAACCAAATAATAATATATAATTGTTACAAAAATGCAATATTAAAAACGGTAAATTACCGATTATTTTAAAGCAGCTACAAAAATTGTAATTTATCATTTAAAAGATATCTATTATTTTATCAAAAATAGTTTATCGTAAATATTCTAATAGATATTAAATATTCTAATATACTAATTTCGTAGAATTTAAAAAAAAATTATAAAATCTAATAATAGGAAAAATAAATAATGAATTTTCTTTTATAATAACGTCAAAAATTCAATGAATGAATGAAAGGATGAAAAAACAATTAGAAATAGAATATCGTTTTAAAACAACATTGGCTTTTGTTATTAAAAGATTACTAATATTAAAAATAATAATTAAAAATTATTTTTCTTTTATGGTATTTGTTTAATTTACTAAATCCAATAAAGTGTTATATTACTATCATCGTTAATTACAATTATATCTATACTCAAACAAATTGAATCGAATAATGAAAATAAATGAAAGATTTTAAATAAATACTTTATCAGTAATTTGTGTAATGATAAATTTTGTATTGAGGATTCATTAATGTTCATTTACATTGTTTTTCCATTACTAGTAATTATACAGATGATCAATCATCGATAAGACATAATTTTTTTAATGTATTCGATTAAATATATACCGATATTTATGCCAATTTAAATAAAATTTATAATTTACTATATAACAATAGGATTAACGAATGTTTTTATTATATCGAAACAATAATGAAATTCGATTCAAATGATCTGGAGTTTACCAATAATCCTTATGACGTAACTGTCACTATGTTTTTTTTTAAACAAAATAAAATATTTAACTAATCCAAATATTGTTTTTAATCTTCAGCAAATAATAATAAAAACTGAAACAAACAAAAAATAATAAGAATAATACATTTCACTTGATGTTTTTTTATTAAAAAATCATTAAAAATAGTTTTTTCGAGCGTTTTCTATATAATGAATTATCAGTTTAAATAGTGAAATGTATTTTTACAGAAAAATAAATATTATAGGGATATTGCAACCAAATCAAAATCGTTTTATATATATATATAATATTATATAATATTCCAATATCAACTATTGTTGTAGATTATTGAAATTTTGATTAATTATTATTGTATATATCTTATATATATATCCTTATATATATATAATTTTGATTTCGAAATTCAAAGTAAAATTTGTATTTTTTAATTTCAAATAAGTGATAGTATTTATTATATTATATGATAATATTTATTATTATAAATGATATCAAATTATAAATTTTAATATTATATTTATATATTTTATTATATATTTAGGAAATATATATTAAGTTCGTATACATAAATTTCTTAATATTAATAATAAAATTTATCAATCAAAATTTAAGAAATGATTAATCAAGATATTTGTGTTAATAAAGAATTCTCTTTGTACGCCAAATGCGTAGAATGATTAGATATGTGCGCAATACGTACCAGAATAGATGATGTTATTGTCTTTCGCGAAGTCGTCCGAGAAATGGATCAGAAACGACTAACGACTTGTGCTGAAACATGATAACAATCACACAAGTATTATTCCATGTAGTACCATGTAGTACATAACATAGTATCGAGTACATAAACTTTCAAATCGTTCTAATAATCTATATGACGACATCGATTTCGTATTTTGAGAGACATCGACTTTTATTAATCTTCTTTTCAATAGAATCGTTGATTCTAATTATCATATCATAAAAATAAATCAATGTATAAATGATAAAAATGAATTCTTTTTCTAATGTCGATAATTTTTTTAAATTAAAAAAATATTATATTTTACCATACATACAAAAAATATCTAATTTGCCAAATCGAAGGTGTTCAATTTCTATGTGAAAATCTCACCATAATTCGATTTTTATTGGTTATAGAAAATTTATTTAAAAAGTTATTTCTTATAGATATATTTGAATTCAGCATTAAAAATAGTATAAAAATATATATTTTTAGAATATTTTCTTTAAAATAACTATTGACTGATTTTCATTTGAATATTCTTCTTAAAAATAATATATTATAGGAATAAGTTTACTTATTGATTATTTTTCAATTATTTTTCATTATAAAAAAATATTCTTGATCTTCATTTAAAAGAAATTTACGTAGAAGCAAATTTGAGAAGTATCGGTAATAGTATTCTTAGAAAACAATGGTCCATATTTTATATATTTGTATATTGTTTCTCTAGAAAAGAAATTTTGAAACGATAATTCTAAGCAGATAAAAATAGATTAAATCTTTCATAGTTGACGTAGATTTTGCTAAGGAGAGCTTCTTACTAGTTGGAAATAAGAACAGGATTTGGACATAGATTATCCCGAAACGTGACTCGAGTTTTTCGAAACGAGTTTATAGCGGAAAGAAATAAAGTTCAAAATAGAACATGGATATTTCTAAAGTAACTTCATATTAAAAATATAAAACAAATCAAAATACAGGTTTCTATATCAATAAAAACATTTCCATTGAATATTCTTAAAAATTGCATGGAGTTAACTCAATTTAACTCGAAATTATTAGACAAAGAATTAAAAATTCTTATTTTTATATTTTTCAGCAACAAATGTTGGGAAATTTTATCTCGGTTTCAAATAAGATAACATCGTTTTAACGAAAATATGTACTGTTAAAAATGACCAAATTTTACTCAAGTAATAATGTATTAATATTATATAACGAATCCTTTAAAAGTTTCAATCTTATTAAAAAAGACAAATTATTCTTATTATTATTACTTTTATTTGAAAATTATTCGAATAAAAACCTATTCGAATATCATCTGATTACAACGAGACGTTCGAATTCGATCGATATTTCTTTGTTCCATTGTATCGGAATTTATTAAAATGCAAAAAGATTTCAGTGGATAGTATGCGTTCAATGAATACACGAACGTGTTTTATCCATTTTCCACCACTTCCACTTCCCGCCCCGGGTCCGAATTGAGGTTGAATTCGCTTTAAGTTTCACAGAGGTAAGTAAGTATACATCGATGGGAATAAAAGTGGAAAACTCTTCCCCTTTCAAAAGCACGAGAGATTATATCAAGAAAGATGTCGATACTTTATTTTTCCAGCGATATTGCGATATCCAGCTTGAGCAACAAAGGAACCCGGGTCCCACTGGACCGAGAATCCTCAGGGATTTCTACACCAGGAACAAAGAACGATCGATCGGCCGATTTCGCCCTGAGTTTCCGTTTTAGATACAGGAGAGGCCAATATGGACCAATAAGATGGCCAGTTACCGCTGCTCCTAGCCACAAATTAAAACGATCCGGTTTCCTTCGTTTACTAGGGTTGAGGCTCGTTGGTCACACGTGCCTCTTTCAATTTTCGATCATCCAATGAGGTTTCCTCCTTTATGATCAACGAATTCAAGAAAAGAGCCAACCACGCTTAATCGAAGATCGATAAATTTAACAATGTGTGAGTAATATGTATTTTAAAAGAGAGAGAAATTAAACGAGATGTAAAAATATTTGATAAGCTCGTGTCCTCGAAGCAATAGTTGACTTTACGATGATAAAACGAAAACAAGATGCGTAATTTAAGATTGTTTGCTAGATATGCAATATCATGAAAATAGAACGAATCAACATTCAAATATTTTAACAACTTCTACATGTCATTATCATGTTGCAAGAAAATGCTAAATCATGATTCTAGAAATTGATTATATTGCATGATATGTTACGTGAGATAATTATTTGATGAAAAAATAAAATTATCATAAATTACATTCTAAGTTGCTAAATAAATACACGTGTATTTATGTATGTAATGCAACATGTTTATTTTCATGTGTAATATTGCATACATTGCAATATAAACAATGTAAATATTCTTTTGAATATTAATCTAACATTTATGATTATCATTACATCATTAAATACTTTGTATTTACAAAACTTTATAATTTTATAATTTATAGTCCTTAAATATAAAATTAAATTTTGTGCTATACAATACTTAATTATTGAATTTAAATTTAAAATAAAAAATTTCTTCTTCATAAATTAATGTTAATTTTTTTTATTATGTCCTCAAATTATGCAAATATTTTATTATTTCACTATTTTTTTTTCAAGGCATGTCTTGTTAATAAAACTTATCTCAAATATTTACCAATTAAATTAATTTCTTACGATACAATTTCTTACGTGTTCCCAATTCTAAAATCCAATAGTTATACCTTTACAACGGAAAATAACCGTAAATACGCGACGCGTCTGCCAAATTTTCACCAACGAAAATTCACTCACGTCTCTCGTCGCAATTCCAACCACATACTCAAAATTTACATTTCAAACTTCAATACCGTATAACCCATCCACTGTTGATAATAAGATAAACCAATCACCTGACTCGCGGCCATTCACGGCAGACCATCGATTTTCGCAGACTTCCCGACAAAACGATTAAGTTTCGTGCTTTTGATCGACCATTTGCTGATAGGTTTTTCAAATTTGCGTATATGTGTGCGCCGAAATGGCCAACCCGCGTGGCAATAAATCTCAATGCACCATTCATCGATCTAACTTTCTTCATATAAAAAGAATTAACTGCCCTAATCGCTGGGGATTTTTTCAATTTCGTATAAAAAAATGCAGGTCATTATTTTATGGATTTCTACATATCATTAATATAATGATTTTCTTAATTCTTAATTCTTTCAAAGAAAAATCTTTAATCTTCTTTGACTTTTTAAAATTTAATAATATATATTAGTAATATGTAAAAAAGAAAAAAAATAAAATCTTCAATAAAAATGAGAATTTTTTTGGAAAATATCTTCTAACATAAAATGAACGCAATTTAATAGAATCAAGGATTAGAAGATAATAATATAATTCTTTGAAAAAATCTTTGAAAAGATGAATTATATATCCATTATGATTATGTAAGTTCAAAAAGTACATAAATTTACATATGCATTACAAAATAAATTGTTTTTTACATTTATCATTGTCTATTATGCTTATACATTGATAAAATCTTTCTATTAATTTCTTAAACATAATTTCATAACTTATTTTTTTCAAAAATTCTTGCAATTCACATTATTCAAGAATTATAAATTACATTCGTGACCTAAATTTAAATATAGATATAAATGCTACGGATAGACAAAGAAATCATTTGAAACGTCATTTATCCATTATGTAATCATTGAGCAAATTGCATAAAAGCCTTTCGTAATAAATTTATCTAAATTAAAAGATGAGCAGTATTCATCATTATTCATTCAGAAAAAAATCCTATCAAAAGATCAATTCTAATTTAAATATTGAAACAAACATAAAATATAATACAATAAAAATGTCAGTTATGATTTATTTGTCAAATTATAAGTAGCAAAATATTAACTTACTTATTTGCTAATAGTAATATTATATCGTAGTGTTGTAATTTTTGCATGATGCACAAAGGCTTGTCACAATAACAATAATTATTAAATAAAAAGCATTATTATTATCAAGGACATCATAATTTCAATAATTCGATATAAACGACTAATGATATGATAATTTTAACACTTTTTATTTATAGAATTATTTGTTCTTTGATACTAACACTAATTTGGTATTGTGAACATAATATTGATTTTAAGTTATCTTTTGTTTTTGATCCGTAGAAATTTGTAGCATCTTATAAAGATACACAAAAAGCTTAACAATTATATTAAACACACTTAAAACAATAATAAATGTCACTATCGCCAAGAATACTATAATGTCCATGTCAAAACGTTGATACCAAGGTTCTAAAGCTAATGTGGAGCGAAGATGTGGGGCGCCTTTTGTTCGTACAACATATTCCGTGCACCAAGCGAGATGTTTCACGGTATCATAAGGTGTATCCTTAATTTGATCACGAACAGTAAGTATTCTTTCTTTATATCTAAAAAGAAAATATAAAAATATCATCAAAATTATAATTTATAAATTATATTTATTATATTTATATCTAAAAAAATATTCAAAATTTTTTTATAATTTTAATTAATTTAAAGTTTTTTCTTTAATCTTTTAACCGGACAATTACTTTAAATCTCTGCAGATCAAAGATGAAATGAGATTATAAATTAAAGACTTGAATATTAAAATTAAAGAAGAATATGTATTTTGTAAAAATTTAATTATTAGTAACTGGATATCATTATTTAATTTAACTTAATTTAATCTTATTTAATTATAACTTCGATGCCGCATTCGTTTAAAAGTTAAAAGTTAATTAATTTAATTTAACGTAAAAAGTTAATTAATTTAAATTCGCAAAAAAAGTTAATTTGTTTAATATAATGTTAATAATTTACTTTTTGAATGAATTAATAAAAAATTTAAAAATGTTGTTTGTAATATTTCTATGATAGGATAATTGAAAAGAAAGATTAGATAAATAGATTAGATAAAAAAGAAAGATTAGATAAATAATATTTCTTCAAATAGAATTTGAAAAGAAAACCATCATCAAAAATTTTTCGTTATTAATATCTAAAATTGGACAATATAATATTATGTAATGTAAAAATTAATTCTTAATTTCTTAATTTTTAATCTAAAATTAATTTTTAAATAATAAAAAATTTAATTTTTAAGCTAAATTTTATAATTTATAACTTGATGTTAATATGTACTTACTTTTTATTATTTATTATTTCATAAATAGCATTTTCAAGTTGATCTTCCGTAAGTGTCGTAATTTCTAAATATTTTCCAATGCCAAGAGCTTCCATTCTTCTTACTTGGTAATCTTGATCTGCCAATATTGGAAAACCAAGAACTGGTACTGCGAAACGAATAGTTTCTTCACTACTTTGTAGACCTCCTTGATAAATAAATAACTTAATTTTTGAATGAGCTGTGAAAGAACAGAAAGAAATAAATATTTTCTGTATAGAAATAATATTTAAGGAATAAATATTTTGTACTAAATAAAAATTATACCAAGAATACTTTGTTGAGGCAACCATTTTCCGATGTAAACATTTTTTGGTTTCTCAGGTAATTCTTCTTCGTACTTCCATATAACTTTATACGGTAATTTTGCAAAAACATTACAAAATATATGTTTAATTTCTTTCGGTATAGTAGAACTTCTTGCATTGCTACCGAGACTAAAATAGATGAAGCCGTCTTTTGCATTGTCTAAAAATTTTTGTAAATTCTGCAATAAAAATAATTCAAATAAAAAAACTATACACATTTGTATAAAAATCTAAATTTTCGATCAATGAAAACAATTTTTCAATAATTCTTTTTTGTAATTCTGTATGCATACATATATAATAATTTATGGTACAAATAAGATTTTAGGCTTTATAACATAGAATAATAAATAATTTTTGAAATTTTGTTTTCGAATCAAGTTTGAAAATTTTTCAAATGTAAGTAAAATTAATTAACTTCCCAAGCGATTTCTTTCCTCGTTATTCTTGATTTTCGTCTTATTTCAGAGAGCCATATAGAATCTCTTTAATCCTATTTGTATCATAAATTTTCTTGTATAAGCATTTACGATCTTCTATATATTTCTATATAAATTATGCTAATTGCAATTTTAAAATTTATTTCATCTATAAATTATGCAATAAATTTCTTATAAATTTTTCAAATATTTTTAATTTTATATTTTTAATTTTTCAAATATACAATAATAATCAAATTTCTATCAAATAAAATGTACCTTCGGCAAAGGATCTGGATTTTCAGATACGTGAAAAGAACTGAATCTAACTATATTTGGAAGTATTGGTCGTCCTGGTGTTAAGACATCGGCCTCATTAATAAAAATCATGCTAACATTCTTCATAATGTCTATCAAAGGTGGCAAAGGTCCAAGATATTGCTCTGCCAATTTTTGCTCGTTAGGGAATATATTGAAATTTATATGTAACAGCAAACGCCATGTTTTCACAAAATTGCGCAACCTCTTATAAAACGGTAAATTTATGCCTGTATTTCCTTCATTTTCCCAGAAATATTCATGAGAAGGAAGCACTGCTCCTCCAAGTACAAAATCATTTATACTAATCAATCCTAACGAACTTAATCCTACGATCATGTAAGACGTGATTATTGTTCTTAACTTTCAAACCGTTCACAATTGTAAAAAATATTAAATAAATAAAATATATTGAATAAATACCTATTAACGAAGCGTTAAATCTGTAGGCAAAGGCATATATAGCCGGTATGTAGAGGAACTCCGTCAAGACGACATCGAATTTTGCATTGCTATCCGGTGCATACAGCTTTTTCACTTCAGTGGAATTAAATACTTGAATCTCGAAAGAAGAACACAAAGAAAATAAATATTCTTCTAGTGTTTCTATCCAATCAACTTTTTCGAATCGTAACTTGACAAAATCTATGGCCCTTAAAGCATTGTAATTTGAACTTATATCAATTTGAGTGAAATTCGGCGAGTTGATATTCTGTATGGGATTCGTAGTAATCAACACAATTTCGTGGCCACGTGCGTGCAATTCGAGCCATAACGGTTGATATGGAATTTGATGACTATAAGATGGTGTATAAACAATGGCTAAGATCTTGTAACACTGTGATTGATTCACGATGCATAAAATGCACAAAATAAAAAATAGTTTCGTAACGTTGCGTTTCATGCTTCTCGTATTTGAAGAACAAACTGACTCGTTCAACGGTTACGTGTCTATTAAAACGGATATCACAATATTACCATCAATTTATATAATAGGAATGACATATATATATCAATCATATATCTATATATACATCTGTATACATCTGTATACACTACAATTTGAAATAAAAATATTTTTATCGTTTCATTATAATTATCATTTAATAAATAATTATCTTAATTATAGTTCAAATTTATTATCATATTCATTATCTTAAATAATATGTATATAGTAAGTTTGTTTGAATATGAATTTATATATAAAGTATATTTCTATATTTTTTACAGATATAAATATTTCATGGTCAAATACTAATAAACATCGATTCTAGTAATATTGTGAATTCTATAGTGAAAAATAATAATTTTGAAAATAGAAAGGACAATGGTTAAAAATATTTTTATTATGAGTTTTTTAAAATCACTATTATTTTCAGGTAATTTTATGTTTCTATAAAAATGTTCATTTTGATAACACGAAAAAGAATAACAGAAATTAAATATTTGATTTGAAAGTTTATGAGTTTAAAGAGATTAGTTAAGAAGATATTTACTTGTTATAAAGAAAAATCTTTTCATATATTGCATATATGACTTGCATCTTTGTTTTACAATTAATTTTTGAAATAGGATTTGAAATAAAACTTATAAATCTTCGTATTTAATCATTCTTTTATTATTTTTTTTTTTCATAATTAAATTTATTCTTTTTCTTTTTATCAATCAAGATATTTATTTTTATTCTTAGA